CCAAGAGAAGGAGGAGTGCAAGTGTGCTGCTGAAGAGCACACATAGTCGGATGAAACCAGGAGTTATAATCAAAAATGTATACAGTGCAGAGCTGCTGCATAGAACTTCTCTGTCCATTCCAGGAAATAGAGCAAAGCTCCATTTAATAGGGAGAAAATGTTAAAAGTAAATTATAATACTTTTCACAGAATAGAAGAATCCAGGATTTGGTTTCTGTTCTAGCAAATGGTGATTACATTTATTGAACTTGACTGTAATACATTTCATTCACAGGAACTGATGTTAGCAAAATAATCTCCGAATTAAAACATGAGTGCATTTTTATGTGCATTTTAAAGTGTGTAGACTTTGGATACCATAATATGAAGGATGAAGGACGTAATGCTGTAGTATGAAGGATGACAACAATTAACACAGATGAAGTGCTGGTAGAAACCCAGCAGAAATTTGACAAACATCAGAATAAGAGAAATATAAGAGAAATAAGAGGGGCAAAACTAAGGCTAAAGGATGGTCATTAATGTGTTACTGATGCTCCACAGTTATAATGAGGTCTGTGCAAATGAATATAGAATAAATGCAGTATATACTAATAATAGTTGTGTAGCACCAGCTAGGTGCAAAGAGGCAGAGGACAGCAGAAAGACTGGTCTAAGAACAGAGACATTCTGCCCTGACTGTGGCAAAGACCTTGGAAGATGCTCAGAGGGAGGAAATCTTCATGGAGATTCATGAAAGCTGTTCCTTATTATTATTTTGAGGAGATATTTCTAGCCCTGCACAAGCCCTGAGGCCCAGTCATATTTCCCAAACAACCTTGAACATGAAATCTAACTTTGAAATGGGAAGAGCTAAAATGTAAGAGGTGGTTTACAATTTTCTGAAGGAGGATGTGGGCTATTTACGGATCTGTATGTGGAATGGCATCACAGTCCTACTACCACACCGTGGTCCCAGCTCTGTGAACCCATCTTGTCCAAGAATCTCCTGAGAATTTAAGGTATCACTTATGTCTCAACCCATCATGTTCCAGGCTTGGTTTCAAAGTATCTTCATGTTAGATTATTGTACTAACAGAGAATTCTGGAAGAGTGTATTTATAACCCAGATATGAACAGAGAGATGAGGAGAGAGGCAAATATAGAATTGCTTGGTTTACTCTGTGCACTAATTTTTTGAAACAGAGTTCAGTTGGACAAGTTATAAACCATTTTAACTATTTGCAAAACCTGAGCTCCCTCACTAATTCCTATAGCTGCAGAATTAATAGGACTGATTATGGCTAGCATTTGACTTGATGATATTTTAGTTAAAAACCTTCAGTTGTATTGAAGATTTTCTACCATCAGTCTTTTAGATGACGAGAGATGATGAGGTTGATGGAGCTACCAATGCAGCCAAAATTTAAGTGGAGTTTTGACTGCAAGGGTTATTTTTATGGGAACCTTTCGGGTTCCTGTACATATTTCACTGGCAGAAAGAAAAAAGTACTATTGTGTTATGTATTCTGTTCAAGTTTCTCACTTGGAAATAGTTATGATTGTCATCCTTGGACAGGTTTAAATTGACATTTTTATCACAACACTCCTGGCATGGTACTGCAAGTTTACTTGCTTGTGAGTAGCTATCAGCTGGCAAAAATTTAAAGGGATGTTGGCTGATTAAAATTATATACTCAGAGCTACATAGAGGCAACAAAATAACCAAAAGCAACCAAAGGCAGCAAGGATTCTTTAAAAAAAAAAATCTTTTCAGAGAAAGGAAAATTATACATGCAAAAGTCATAAATCGCACATCTTCATTTAATATTTTATAATCAAAAAGCTAATAATTAAAACTGGGAGGGTTAGGTCGGTCAAGTTTTACAGCTGAGCGCACTCCCTGAGCATGCCCAAATCAACACTTATGAGATTAATTTATAAGCTCTTCAAATTCTGAATCTCCAAGGTTTATGCTGTCTGTGCATTGTTTGCATAATGCAGTTTTATACTACTAAAGCACTGTAAAGGGATTATTTTCATATTCAGCATATTAAAGATACAGCACAATTCAAAGATATCGCACTGTGTTCATGCCTGAGATAGCAGGTACAGTGCCTTGCGTTCTGATTATCTATGAAGCAAATGTAGAAACGGGGATGTTTTGGGAGAGAGTGTATCCTTAGTGAAATTAATTCCCCAATGGTTTTATTAAAGTCTGCAAATTACATTATTTTCCCATCATATTTGAAATATTGCACTTCCTTAATGCTTGCTCTAACCCATGGCATGCCATCTTCCCTGGGGTGTCTAGACATGGTGTCTTAGATTTATGTGTATGATCTCAGTGTGTTACAACATCACTCCTGACTAATGCATTATTACAATACTTACATATATTCCCAAGTGTCACTGTTTTGATTAAAAAATCACCAATCTGCATATGCACACCATCTGTGCTTCAGAGAAGCAAAACATGCAGAATAACATTTGCCTTACTCCAAAGGAAATTCAGATACTACTGAAAAAACAAATGGGAACCCTTTTTTATGTTTTGTTTTGCAAGGCAACAAAGAAAATGAATACTGTTTCTGCAAAACAATAGTCCATGCCTCTGATGCTTTAAAACATAAGCCCTTTCCACTCTACGCAGCAAGGAGATTTACCTTTAGTAAAAACACACAATCTCCCCTTTTAGAGATAGCAAATAACATGGAAGGAAACGTACTGCTGCAACGAATTTTAAAAATCTCAGTTCAGATGCAAGGACAGGGGTCTTTTCAGCAGAAGGGAAGGTAGTCAGTAGCTAGTCCTTTCTCAGCTGAAAGCTGCAAGAGTGGTTGTAAAAGATGAATGAGGCCCTTGCTTACTGGGGTGAAATGCTTTTAAAGGACAAGAATCTGCTTATCTTTGATTGATTGCTCAGTCTGATACTTTCCTTTATAAAGTTTATTGACTACAAGCCCATAAATCAAAGAAAAACAAATCACAGGTTCAATTTGGGGGGCATTGACATCCTGCCATCTTGCAGCAATAGCTTAGAAGTCACAGGGCAGGGAAGAGGAGGGATACAAAACATTTACTTCAGGCAAACCATTATTTAAAGCATTTGTAAATGATTATTCATTTGTGCTCTAGCACATTTTTAAGTCAAGAGAAAAATGCAGACAACCAAGCTACCCGGATTATTATTCCAAAGTCCTTAAATGCAGAATTTACAATTAACAGACATAATTCTCACTGTGCTGCTGCACGTCTCTCTGGTTCTGTGAGATTACAGTCACATTCCCACACATTCTTCACCCGCTGTAAGAATGTTACATTTACAATTTAAAGTATCGAAGCAAGAATCAGATTTCTTTCACGGGGGTTGAGGGCTTGGGAAACTCAAAATCTGTGTGCTGAAATACCCCATACAGTCGCATGTAAGGAAAGCACTAGCCATAGATCTTTCCTCATATGGGACATACGGTGTAATATGACAGCATGATAATACAGATTAATTTGTGCTGTTGACCTTGACACACTATTCTATTGTGTCTTCTTTGAAAGTCAGCACTCAGGTCACTAGAACATCTGGTGTTTAACAAAAAAATCCCATTCTGAAGTGCTAAATGTGTTGAAACAAATGGTACTGTACTATCATTATACAGTGCAACCTCTCTGCTAGGGGTCTAATTTCAAGGCTACCCTGACTGATCTACATTATTATTAGTGGCTTTGTAATTCACATCTTGCCACAGTACACAAAATACCTAATTATCAAAAGTAGCCTTTTAAAAGCTGGATTGGGTTCCATGTAACTGGGACTGACTGTTGCTTTCTTTCCATTTTATCTTTGGAGACATCTGGAAGGGTGAAGCCCGCACCCTGCTGAACATCCTGGCCTTGACCCAGCAGAGCACTTTAGCATGCACGTGCACTTGTATACACAGCTCCTATATTTTAGCAAGACATGCTTTTAGGTTATGGATGTGCTACTTGTCGTATGTATGAACTGGTTTCACCACACCCACTGAAAACTGCACGGTGCTCACTATTATATCTGCCCCGTCTTATACCCCATTCCTTTTAGCTTGTGCTCAAATCTTTCACAGTGGTCAACATTGGAAAAGGCTGAAGCAGCCTTTTACAAGGAGGCTGAAGATTGGGAAGATGATTGGTAGCAAAAAGTAGCAGATTTGTTTCACAGAAGTATTTACACAGTGTTTGACGTGAAAAAAAAAGGCAAAAGGTCATGACTCTGCCTCAGAAGGGATTGCACTCTCACTGCCCCTCTGACACAATTGCCATCCCCATGCCTCTCTCCCACCACTCTGCCATCTCTCTGCTTCCTGCAGAGATTCTCCACATAACCAAACATACAGGTTGTGTTGGTAGGATGTTGGGGAATCTCACAAAGTTTCCGTGGGAAGGATTAAGCATTTCCAGGGGTCTGATGACCTTTACCTGATCTAAAGCAGGTCACAGCAAAATGAGCATTTCAGCTTTCCCTGTTAGTATGGATACACACAACCCAAGCTGGGATCTTCCAACTGTGCTGTGAATCACGGTGGGCTGATTCTCTCCTGCTTCCCCAACATGGAAATTTACGTCCCAGGAAAACAACTATGAAATGCTACCGCTCTACTCTTTCACCTAATTTGCCCTCACTCTACAAGCACAGGCAGAAAGGAATTAGCCTCGAGAAACACATTAGCAGCCAAGTACTGAGCATCTGACAATACCAAAATTTTTTTAATAAGGTGACAGAAATCTTTACTATCAGGAGCATGGAAAATTACTACAGGCATCTATGAACTAAAACATGTGGATCTCAATGCCTGACAAAGGACCAGTATATTCAGCTGCGGAGAAAAAGGAGTACAGCAAAGGTGAAAGTGCAGGTGTATTTACAAAGAGCAAGGGATGTGCACACTGAGCCAAGTAAAGATGGGGCAACAGGAAGAGGCTCAAGGTCATTCAGCACAGGAAAGTAATGACATAGGAAAGTAATAGCCCAGAAAATGCCTTTGACTCACAGCAGGGCTGGAGGAGCAGAAGGTATGTGTTACGCTGTGGCTTAAGACGAGGTGAAGTAATTTCCAGTTGTTTTAAATAAAATTTCTGCTATGAGGTCCCAGCTGATCTCCATGAGAAGTTTATTTATAGTTACTGGAGAAAAAAGAAAAAAAAATTACACCACTGAATGAGAAGACAGCATTAAGCAATCAGTCACCAAAGACCTAATCTCATTAACTCCTTCTAAGATTTCAGCCATCAGTCTGTAGTTGGCAGCTAGTGGAGAACTGAGTAAAATGAGACCTCTTTTAAACATTATTTTTTCAGGCCATCTTCCTGATCTTTTATACTTGTTTGTTCTGCAGTTTCTTAGAAGCTACAACTGCTGAAGGAAGTAGAGAAAATCCAGAAAAAAAAATAACCTGCTCTGCTATGCAGCCTCATGCCGCTGGGTCAGTGATTTACAAAGACAAGGTCCTGCTGCAGGGAAGCTAAATGGAGTTCATTATGGACATGAAAGTTAGCAGGGCCAAAAAGGTGAGGCTATAGGAAAGAGGATGAAATAGGAGCCTAACAAGTGTGGATTTTACTTCCTTGGTGCAATAAGGAGAGCTTTTAACTACCAACTACCCTAAAAGAAAATATATCTAGACAATAGGTCCTTTAAGATAGGTATTATCCTATATACTACAACCATACTGTCTTGAATATACTCAGGAAAATAAAAATCATAATGTATTACTTAAAAAATTCTGTGTTGTGCTGCAATGAGCAATCTTTGATTTGCAGACTGAAAACTTAGGTTTGCAATTTTTCCTGGAAAATTAGTAAAATGGAGGCATTTAAGTTGAGTGGAATGATGTCATTAAACCTAGATAGGGACATCAACCTCAAACCTGCACAAATCTATGAGTTTGTCACCAGTGTTCATTGCTTGAGTGCCTTGGGAATGCCAGTGCTTCCTAGGGGTGCTTCCCAGCAGCCGCAAACTTTCTGGAGAAGGAAACTAGACAGCTTGCTCCTACAGCACTGACAGAGCCTGGAACTACAGCCAGCAGACACCGAGATATGAGAGGATTTTCTTGGCCCTGAAGTCTGCTAGCAATAGCCTGTGTCTTGCTCCTGGGTAATTTTTGGCCACATAGTGCAGTACTGGGTGCTTGGGCAACACTAAAAGGATCAGCTCTCACAGGGTGTCATATTTTCTCCCTCAAAGTGACAGTGATTAATCTTTCTTTCAGTACTTCTGGTTTAGGCCATTTCCCCTTTGATTTTACGCTGGCACTAACCTCACAGTCATTAGAGAACCTGAAGTTTTCTGCTACAGCTGTCAATGCCCTGTATTACCAAAGAGTCCAGATGGCTTTATCACCCCCCCCCCCCCCCCCCCCCAGGATGTTAGAGTAGGTGGCAGTCAATTGGTGACTGGCTACTGTAGAAGTTTCTTGTAAGTGGGGCTTACCTGCAAAAGGTGTACATGATGGTAAGGCTAGAAAATAAAGTACATCTCAAAACAAGTTACCTGATTAGCCTCAAAAAATCAGGCCCAAAGGAGTTATGAAAATTAACAAACCAAAGTCTCAATGAACCTTCGCTCCACAAGAGATCAAAGGCTTCTAAGGAAGAGTGTGCAGGCAAGTACCTTTAACAGAACATACATCCAGCAATTTCAACATACAAATAAAAGTTTTCGGGGAAATTAGAGAATTAAATGGGACTTGTGGTCCCTGGTTCCAGGATTGCCTGACACCTAGAAAACCACAAAGAAAAAGAAGAGTGAATAAACAGCTGATGAATAACAATATATTGCTTGGTCCCTGTAAGAAACCATGTCAAGGATCTCTGTAGAGATCAGCTCTGTCAATAATGTTACCTGTATACCCACATTTTATTTCTCTGTTGCCAATATTTTAGTGTGATATAAATAATTCTTTTGAATAATAATCATAATTCCACTTTAGAGGAGGGGGGTACTTCAGACCTTTTATGAGATAGTATCTAGGAGGTGATCTAAGCAACCCTTAGAACAGGCAGGAAAAATCAGATGTAAGAGTAAATTAATGTGATATTAACTTGCTTGTTAATGGAAGTGAATGCATAAAGCATCACATTCAAGAAGGGGGAAACTATCCCCATTTGTACTGTTGTGCAAAGTAAACCTCAAAGTAAAGGAAGAGCTACTTACCACAAGCATCCCTGAACAACTGCAGTCTCAGCAGAGAAGACAGAGATGAAACAACACAAGCCCGAGTAAACTCAGCAAGAAGAAAAAGGAACCAATGGGAAAAAATGTAAATCATTAGGATAAGAATTTTGATTACACTTCCTAGGACTTTAGAGCCACACTGGGGCTGGTACAGCCCCAATAGTCCTCTGCGATTTAAAATTCTTAAGTATTTGGGTGAAAAACTGTCTTATAATAGCAAAAAACCCACGAAATCCAAAAACAAATAATACCAAATAATTGCAAAATAACTACCATAGTGGCATATGGTGATAATCATTATAAGAATATTGCTAAATCATGTAAGATATTGAAAATATCCTACTTTTAACTTTGTTCCCCATTGTTACATGCTCTCAGACTTGAAGAGAATGAAGAACCTAGTTTGTTATTTTGCTCAGATAAGAACAGTTATAAAAATAGATTAACTGTCAGTATCATGAATTAATATCACAAAAATACAGAGGCTCAAGTAATAGGCTTAGGCTGTAAGCTAAGGAGCAAAAACACAAAGCTTATGCTTTAACCTGGGTAAGGACAGCCATAGCACTACTGTGGTAAAATGCTTACCTAAAATGAAATTTGTACTTAATCATTCTGTGTGCTTTTAAAATCTACATTTTGTTTTGTTCTACATAGTGACAGCTTTTGATGTTAAACCATAGCGTAATAGCTACAAAAGCTGATACTCAAGTTAAAAATCTGCAGCTTTTAGTTCATGCTTTCAAGTTTTTTTTCTTTTCCCACTTTTTTTTTTTTTTTTTTTTTAAAAAGAACCTCTGAACGTCTAAATGATAACATTTTTCAAGTAGCTGCTCCTTCCCTGGAGTTGAACAAAATAGAAAAGATCAAAGTTAGTGCAATCTTGTTCAAAGGTGAAGAGGTGAAATCTTATGTGTGCTGGAGGATCAGAGCAAAGAGAAATGTACAATGCTTAGTGTGCGACACCTGAAGCCCACTTTCATCAAGGTACCTCATTTTCATCTGAATTCAGAATGTATCTCATTTAATGGTAAAATAAGGAACAGCATTGGATTAGCTTGGTTACAAAGAAGATAAGCCCTTGCTCAAGACTGAAAAGTAAACATCAGTAGAAGGTGAAAGTGGTCAATTTTTTTTAGAATTACGAAGTTCACCAAGTCAAATTCTATAGTCCTTCTTTAAGTAACATTTATATAATTGAATAAGATGAAGCCATTACACCCACGATGTTTCGAGAATCATGATGGTGTTGATAGTTGAATTTCTTGAAAAAAAACTCACCATGTTTTGAAGGGGGTTGCAGAGAGGGACATCTAAAAAGGGTATGTTTTTTCCATAAAATCTTCATGTGACTGATGTGCCCTGACATAATGTATCACAATGAAATACAGCTGCCAAAAAAGAACTTCAAATTAAGCCCTATTCTAGAGTAAGGAGGGGAAAAAAAAAAAAAAAAGTGATAAGAAAATAGGTACCTTTTCAGCAAAAGCTTTTGAAGCTTTAAAAGCACGGCAAGTAAAAAAGTAAAAAAGTTCCCTCAATTTTGTCTAAGTAACTAGAAGCTAAATGGGGGGGAAAGGGTTTGGAAAATAATGCTCCAGCCTCTGTGAGAATTGGAGACATCCTGAGCACAAGAAACTGTTACACAGGAATAAAGGAGGATTTTAATGTCCTTGTCCTACCTTGTCAAACTCATGGAGGACTCACTTTCAAAGCATTCAGAATTATGCTACATTATGCTAATAATGCTGGTCTGAGAATGTTTTAGCATAAACCTGGACTTAAATATGGCAAAGTGGTCACAATCATGCAAACATTCAGAAGCTGAACAATCACATTTCACTTTTTGCTTTTTGACTATGTAGATTTTCTTTTGCTTATGTCTCTGGGCTGTTGCTATAGGGCTGTCCTAAATTCCAACCTGTACTTCGCTGCCCAAAAGCAGTAAGTATTATGTGTATATTGTCTATTACAGGTCAAACCTTGACCTGAAAATCAGATCTTCTCAGGAGTACTATAAAAGTCTTATACACAGCCCTCATAGGAGCTATCCCACACAGCTACCTGCCAAAGCCTGTTTGTCAAGGATTCACCCAGCATATCCACACCCAAATTCCCACCTTTGTTTTTGTTCAAGCCTCTTTCCTCACATAAAATCTGCTAAAAAAAAGTGTTAAGTCTTCCAGTGTTAGCTTCAGAAAATAAACTGCTGGAAGCAGAACATGTGCTGATGCCAGGGTCTGCATGCTGGGCATGAACTGAAGTTTAGGAACAGAACAGAGACAAAGGTGATGAGACAGTCAAAGAAGAAAAAGAAAGAAAGTTCATGCAGGCTACCTCCAGCATAATATATGTGTATTATTAAACTAAATGCAGTTGAACCTGTCCCAAAACTACTACCTCATACTAGGTCAGAAATTATGTCATGCAAACTTCCATACCTCCCAGATTGTCAATTGTCACACATTTCTAACGGTTTTCCTCTTGGCTACATAAACATCCACTTTCCATCTATCATTAAGTATGATCTAAGATACATGTAAGCATACCCCAAAGGGGTGACCAACATGCTGGTTCACACATGTTAGCACAGGGCTTAGAGTGGAGAAATGAAGCTCTCATCCTTTCCTGTTTATCTGTGTTTCAGGCCACCATTTCTTATTTTACATTTCGGGTCCAGAAAGAATTGATCTATTGTCCTGCATGTGTTGCCAGCCTTCTGCAGTTAATCTGATGAGATAACTGTGAAAGTGCTGCAGGCAGACTAAATCTCTTTTTGACAAGGAGCCCCTACATGTTTCATTAGCAACATTACATTGACATAATATATCTAAGGATCAGTCACGTCGTGCAGCATGCAGTGGCTGACTTGCAAACAGAGATTGTGCTGCCTGTGTGTCTCTGAGTTTGCTCTTGAATTTTGGTAACATGTAGACCTCTGTGTTTGCTGCTTTGAAAGGGCTGACCTGCTGGAATTTCAGACTTCTTCTCAAGTGCTGCACAGAACTGACTTAAGTTATTTTTTTAACCAAACACTTCTGCAGCGTTCAGATTCTTCCAGCAAACCTCCAAAGCTACCCTACACACCAACGCTTTATGTAAGTCATGAACAATGTGCTGCAAGCACAAAGATGGCTTTTAGTCACCAAAGACTATTCCAGAGGCTCTGTGTTCTGAGGCGTGGCTTCTCCTTCCTGCGCAACTGTCCCGTTCATCCGCACGACAGAAACACGTGGCCAGTTGCTGTTCTGGTACTCGCAGTGAAGTCTCACAAGGTGGGATCATAGATCAGATGTATTGTACTGTTATTGTTCCTGTCTGTATTTGTATTTGTTATGGACTATAAACCCTGATGACACCATGAAGGGCTGTGACCATGAATCCCAATTGGCTGAGCAGTGCTATTTCATGGAGGGGCGAGTCCAGCGGTAATGAATTCAGTCAATGTAATGATTTCGGTTTCACCACACTGCTCTGCTTCCTGGGAACCTGCAGAAGATGAGTGACTGTGCCACAGTCATAAATTCAGACACATACAATGCTAAAATTTCTTAGGGAGCTTTAAGTCCCTGTGAAATGTCAGACTAATAAATATGACGATCGTATTTGCTATTTGGCAAAAATATTAATTAACCTGGAAAAGTTAATAAAAATATATTCCCCAAAATTATGCAACAGAAAAATCTTGTGGGGTTTTTTTGTTGTGTTTTTTTTTTTTTTTCTTATTCATGGTTATACGAAAGCAAAATGCCATGGATTCTTCATCTTTAATACCTAAGGGATTTTCAAGCATATTGCTTCCATAAAACTTGGTTCATCAGTACAGTACACAGCCCAGATATGCATATTTAATTACTCTGAAAGTAATTTACTTGTACAGATGGTGGTATTAGAAGGTCTTACTTCAATTTAAATTACTTCTATTTGAAAAATAATGTTATATTGCTATGAATCTTGAGCGAAGAATTCACTCTTATTACAGATGAATAATACTTGACAATCGTAATTAATCTGTGACTAATCTAATACTTCCTGGATAAACATTTTCTTTCCAATTTTACAAATCAAAGCATCCTCTTTCCGGGAGGTTGATCCAGTAGCATTTCATATCCAAACCTGTTTACCAGGAGGGACCACAGAAGAGTTTGTTGAACACCCCTGAGACTTCCTAAGGCAAAGAGATGTTTCAAAAATGTTTGCATCTTTCTGTAAGATTAAGCAGGGATTAAAGCAAAAGGGTGCATTTCAGGAAAGTACCTACCAGGCAAAATCTCAGGAAAACAGTAACTCAATGTGAACGCTGGGAGTTTGGGAGAATCTTTAATGGGAAAGGATCCAAAATATCCTGGGCAGCAAGTTCCCCTAGCAGCACAGGTAGCACGGCCATGTGGAATACTCACCCCATCGATGTTGTGGTCCCTGCCTGCCACACCCAAATAACAGCAATTCCCAGGACTAAGCACGCAGCAGAGGCAGAGAAAGCTAGCAGTGTATTGCATTAACTCTTACACTCTTCCTGGGAAAACACATCTGCCTCTCAAGTGAGATTCTTTTCTTGCACAGCACTGTAAAAGGTCTACACGTGTTTGTTAGACTTCCTTCAGTAAATGTTCGTCTCTATTAAAGCAATGGCTACCTCGAAGGGGGCTGATGTGGTTGCTATGGTAAGCATTCATGTTTTATTGAAGACTAAATGGCCACAGCCCACATAAAGGGCTCCCGAGTGGCCCTAAAATGTGCTCTGCCTTCCCTTTCCACCACCTTTCTCCTCAGGACAAAACAGTTTTTTGACAGCTGATCTGATTTTGAGAGCCTACCCAGAATAAGGCACTTTGTCCCTTCTATCGATGTAACTTTAACCTTGTAGTCTGGATTTAATGCAACAAACCCTGGGAAACTGATTCCGAGAGTGGAAAGCACCTGAATTTCCCACAGAGTGTTTGGAAGAATTGGAAATGATGGGTGAGCTGAGCTACTGTAAGACTGCTAGAACCACATGCCTTTGTCACATCAAAACTAGGGGACAAGGGGTAGGGAAGAAATATCGCACTGGCTGGACCGTCAAGGGTGTACAGCCCAAGCTGGATCATACAGCCTAGAGTGCAAATGTTTCACCCAGGCAAGGCAACATGGGTGCTGGAGGAAAGCAAAGGAACAGGACATGTCAACTCGTGAGTAAATCTGCCTCTGCTATAGCAGAGGGGTTATGGTGCCCTGTGTCTGGCATTCAATTTACAGACTGATTTTCTTTTTATTTATCCTATTTAAGAAAGAACTTTATGTCCTTTGGCTTGCATATACAGAATTTTCAACAGCACCTTTTTTTCCAGGAAATCTAAGCACATTTGCTTCCCCTGAGTACAAAAAGGATGGGGGTCACATTCACTTTATCCAACCCACTGCTTCAGTCTCTGGGTGCCAGAATTGCACCGAGCTGCACCTTGCACTGCTGTGCAAGGAATGCTTAGAACACAGCAGTGTTCCTGGGCTTCTCATCCCTAACCTTTCAACAGTGCTTTTCTCAAAGGCATTTCTCACCAAGTGTTCTCTCTCTTGAAGGGAATGTGATCCCTATTTGTCCTGTTCATAGCCAAAGTGACCCCACAGAGTCTCCAACACGACTACCATCCCATTCCTCCGTACAAACTGGCACACTGGCTTTAACCCCTCAAAGATCCATGACAGCCATGTGCAAATGGAAGAAGTCCAGCATTGGATCAAAGTGTGCCTGCCCAGGCACAGGTGCCTGGTTAGCAGTTGGTGGTGAACAAGTTGTGGAGGGCAAGGATGGCCCATGTCTGTAGCCAGAGGGTAGGTGGGGAGGCAGAGGTTGTAAGTAACAGTCCTGTAGAAGTTTAGGAATGAGAGAAGGTGAGTCAGGAATCTGGAGAAGAGAGGGAGTAAATAGATGAAAACCGTAGGATGGCTGTGGCTGAGCTGCTCTCAATTACAATATTTCTCTTTTTAACCATACCCTTTTAAAGCATGGAATTCAAGGCTCCAGTTTGTATTTTATAACACAGAGCCAAAAGCCCGAAACAGAAGAAGCATCTTAACAGTTCTGTCCCTTATTTTCATACAAATTCACACAAATGAACTCATATGCATATAAAGTCAGCCTTAAACACAAGATCCATGGTAAGTTTTTCAACAAAATAATCCTTTAGACACTGATAAATCAAGCAACAATGACACAGGGATATCATAGCATCACTAAAAATGTCACCACAGTTAACAAGCCTGCTTGCTTCAACAAAAAATATTGGTGAATAATTATCTGTCAGTTAGCACGTTAAAAAAAAAACATGCGTAGTGTTCCTTGCCCAAAAATGATGGGAGTGGAAACATTGTTTTCTTGCCAGGTTATTTTCATTTCAGGAAGAGAAATAACCAGGGGAAACATGGAGACAAGACTAAATAACAAGAAGCAGTATGAGGGGAGGGAAAGAAATCCTTCATAATTATGCCATTGCCTCTGCCTTTCTCCCTATCAGATTCCTCTCCTGTACCACACTGTGCCAAACCACTCACATGCGGGGCATCCTCCAGATGAATCAACACAGTGGCACACAGATTCAAGCGTACATCAGAGGCACAGAGGAGGTGTTTGATATTGTATTTATGAACAAATCAGAGACAAGAGCTTGGTGGGGGGCTTTTTTGGAGGAGGAGGAGTAAGGGAAATAAGGTTGTATGCCAGCTTGAGAGAAAAAACATCTCATTATCTTTTTAAAATTTATATTAACCACAGACTCTGTTCAGCTTCATCCTTAAGTGATAAATTAAAACAGCACACATGCAATCTGTAGATTTTTTTCTTTATCCATCACTCCAAAAATACAGTATGAAAGACTGCCTGCACTAATCCAGGCTCCTACATCCATCATAATGCTACACACAGGGGTAGAGAGGCTGAACTGGGGCACAGTGTGTTGCCTGCAGTGCACAAAGGTAGCCCCAGGTGCCAGCAGCCAAGCACAGCCAAGCACCATCATCCCTGCCAAGTACAGAACTCCTCCCTAGCATAGGAAAAACTCCATTCTGGGCAGTCTCACCATAGTAATTCCTTACTTTACTTTGCTAAAGCAAAACCAACTGATTTTGTTCACAGGTCACCAGGTGTGACTACAAGCCATCACAACCTCACAGCTATGTGGCAACTTCCCTTAAACCAGCCCACAAAGACTTTACTTTTGTTCAAAACCATTACTGACGAAACACAAAACTTTTTTCCAAACAGCTCTTAATTTCTCCCACCAATAAATATCTGTTCAACAGGTGATAATAGAGAAAGGACCTCTAGAAAGCCCAAGATCAAAAGTTGACAAAAAGAGAGATCTCAAAGGCTCCCTAAGCCCAATAATATAATTCATCCATTGCATGTTCAGCCTCTTCTTACAGAAGTTATTAGCATAATTGTGTTCTACTGGTGAAAAGAGGATGGCATGCCAAAAATTTTATCATGTCCCTTACCTTTTAAGATGCAGAACTAATCCCCATTCATAGATAGGGCCTTGTACCCAGCTTGCTCTTGTCTGTAAAGTCTCCCCTGTACAACTTTTTTTTCTTCTTTTATTTTTTCTTCTCTAAAATAGGAAAACCAGATATGGCAACCATTAATCAAGCAAGTAATAAGCCTAATGTCAGCTGAGGGAGAAGGTAGAAGCTGAGGAGAGGCATACAAGACATCTCAACGTGTCTCCTGAGGAATGAGACTTTTCTGCAACTGAACGTTATCTCATGCAAGATCCTCACAAAGAATGAAAATTGTCATGTTTCAAGTATTTTATTGATAAAAGACTTGGTTAGTAGGTCATCAGGAACATAAAATATTAATATTTGCATATACACTGATGTGTATATCAGTGACAGAAGTTTTTGTGCTAAAATGAGTGTGGGGGGGAACTCCAGAGGTGGCGTGAACCCCTCCAGCCTGCCCTTTGTACCTCTTGTTTTCCAGCATATAACCTTGCAGCAACTGAGAGCTGAAAACAAAACCAGAGCCTCCTCCTAGGGTAAAGAGTATCTGAAATGCAAACACTTTCCTACGCCAGACTCTGAAGAACACGACCTAATAGACACTTCCCTTAAACGGAAAAATCTCTCAGTGACCCGAAAGGACATTTTCCCAAATAAAGGCTGACCTAGGGCTTTAGATGTTGGCTGTGTGGTTTCAGGGGATTTTAAGGCCTGGGTGGACTTAAACCTAGTCAATGACACAGAACTGACTTCCAGTGTCAGATCACCAGTTAAGTGGGACACATCCTTTAGAAAGCCACAAAGTTTTGGTAGGTATTCCACCAGTCTCAACAGAAATCCTTTCCAATGCCTAATTACCTCCACTCTCAAAAATGTGCTCAAGTTGTAATTTTCCTGGCTTTAACCTCAATTATTTGAGGGATTTTATATGTATTTTTGATACATCCCCAGCCATGTCACAAGTCTTCAGGCAGTGGGAATCTTCACTACACCTAGGTACTTACACATCAAATTCCTTGCTGTTAGTTTTTTATTATAGATTCAAGTATGTTCTATCTAGCCTCCTCAGAGGAAAAAAAGCTTTTTTTGTTTGCCTTTTTTTTTTTAATTAAAAAAAACCCACTCAAACTCCAACACTGTCAGTGATATGAAAATTAATCATTAGATTAAAGATTTTTTTTTCCCTTTGTGTTGCTCGAACGTGTAAAAGTGCTTACAGCAAAAGAGGGATACAAATTTCAGGGGGCGGGAATGAATGTGTGGTTCAGAGAATGGATATGTGTGGGTATGTGTGCACCAGGGGGTACCTGGGAGTGTATTTGCCTTGTCTGAGCATATAATATCATAGTACTATGGGCAAACTGTACAAGCCCTTGTGTAATCCCCTAAGTAAACTCTGAAAACTTAAAACGCAGTAAATTATGGGTTTTGCAAAAACTATACATAATCAGCAATGGTAACTGAGATTGATTTTATATTTGAATTGAGTGCTCTAACCCAAACCAAATTTTTAATAAAACCAATCACCTGATGTTTCTTAGATTATTTATTGCATCTTTATCTATATTACAGATGCCAGTATGAGAAATTAGCTATTATTTTTAGGTCTTATAAATATATAAATTAAATCATGAATTGTACATAGGTCTATATATAACATGTTCCTGTGACACTCACTATTTTTCTTCTACAAAATGTCTGTAAAGTGCCTGGCATGAGACTAGTTGGCTAAAAAATAATCAGTTGCAGAAAGCTCAAACTTCTGTCAACTGTATGAAATGAGAAGGCATAAGGCCATGCCCCTCAGTATTTTGATTACATGGATCAGGAAAACAAATTTCAAGAATTAACAGTGCAAATTTTTAAATATGCCAAAGCATAGTAATTCTAAATGGCGTTACAAGTTGGAGCAAGGGAAAGGTGTTGCTTTCAGATTTGGAAATGCCTACTACAGTCTAACCTCTTTGTCAACACGTTTGCAGTTTTGCAACATCCATTTCTAAATGAAATATCTTATGAAGGAAACCAAAAGGCAGAAAACTAAAGAAATAGGGGTCAAATTCCTTCTGTGAGATCTACCTTGTAAAATTATCCAGAATGTAATAATACCATGTTATTGACTTAAGCACAGTTCCCTGTGACATGCTGCAGCTGACCTGTAATTTTTATCCTACATGTTGCCAGCACTATTAAAATGACACTTGTGAATGTAAATTAAGCTCACAAAGGGGACAGATTGTATGATTCTGGTTTCTCTCAGATGCCTGTAGGCTATCACAGGTTCCATATGTGAAGTAATTATGTTCACTGAAGGAAAGAATAAATGCTGTCAAATTGTGTACTGAGAGAGAAAGCAGCTATTATATTGCAGTAGTCACTGGAGCATTGCCTTAGAAAGTGAAAAGATGTATAAGAAAATAATAAAAAAGAAAAACTGGGGCAGAGCTATATTAAATATAACCTTTAAATGAGTATCTGCTTTTGAATATATATTACATAAAGTTAATATTTCACAAATAAAAGCATTTCAGCCTTTTAATCATATTTTCTTTCTAACATCTAGAGGGCACAGGGTAGAATACTTATCAGAGGGGTAAAGGACAAATGGAACATCTTCCAGCTTTCTGTGTTTCCTCAGGAAGAGCATCTCTGGCCCCAGAGATGCTGTCCCCACTTCCTTCCCCACCACAAACCTCCTCCCACAGAAGCTGTGCAGTAGCCAGCCCTCCTCCCCAGCAGGTGGAGGTGTCCCAGCCCTCAGCCCTGCCTTCCCACCCTGTCTATCCTTTATGGTCAGGTCCAAACCTACACCTTCTGCAGGCCCTGAGTAAGGCCATTAAGGCTGGGCAAGGGCACTGCTGAAGACACCCTCCTCTGCAGCACCAAACCCGGGCTGCACCAGGCTGCAGCAGGGCTGCAGAAGAAGAGGCTTCAATCATGAAAGCCAATGTAGCTGCTAAAAGGAAAGGCAAGACTTCCATCATCTCCACAGCTGCAGTGCAGTCCTGATCTCCTGAGCCTGGAAGAGGTGATCCTATATTTAGATCAGCAAGGTCATCAGTGAACCAACACAAGAGGGGGGAGAACTCTAAGCTGGGAAAGTGGCACTTTCAAAATCTTTCACTTAGAGGGAGCCAAGGAGATCAGAAGCAGGGAAGTAAAGATTCTGAGTATACCTGCTTGTGTGGGTTTGGATTTTCATCCAGAAAAGAAACAAGGAAAGAAAAGAAGCTAGGATGCTTTGGAAACAGCCCTGGAAAACACAAACAGGAAGGCTCATTTTCTGACAAGAGTGTAACTGGAGATATAGAGGCTCATGAAGGAGCCCACAACACTAAAAACTAGAGGGTTGAATGCTTCCG